GTCTGGACATGCGGGGGTCGACATCAAAGGTATTTGTCGACCACCCAGGTATACCTCATCCCAGGAGGCATACCTGGGTGGTCGACAAATACCTTTGATGTTGACACCCGCATGTCCAGACTATCGCGCTGAGCCGACAAACAGCTGATCAGCTGTTTGTTGGCTCAGCACGGCAGCCATGTAAATTTAAATGAAGCGGCGATTATTTAAATCGCCGCTTCATTTTACTATGTCTGGTAGCCTAATCTACATGCCTCTGGCGACAGAGGCATGTAGTCTAGACATACCTTTAGAGGAGAGTCTATTGATAGAGATTCTCTAGGTTTTAGTCAGGAGGAGAGGATGGAAGAGCATAAAGTATGGGCCAGATCAGACGAAAAACATTCACATAAAAAAGAATCTGACACATCACAAAAGAGCAGACAAATAAATAGTGACAAGTTTTTAAAGTGCTTGTACACAAATGCTAGAAGTCTAAAAAGTAAGATGGGTGAACTAGAGTGCCTCATGTTAAAGGAGGATACTGATATAATAGGCATCACAGAAACCTGGTGGAGAGAGGACAATCAATGGGACACAATCATTCCTGGGTACAAAATATATCGGAAGGAGAAAACAGGTCGTGCGGGTGGGGGAGTGATACTATATATGAAAGAAAATTTAAAATCAAATGAAGAAAAAATCTTAAATTAATCAACATGTTCCATAGAATTGCTATGGATAGTAATTCCCTGCTCTAATAAGAATATAACAGTAGGGATCTATTATTGACCACCTGAACAGTATATTAATAGTGACTATGAAATTCTATGTCTAGACTGCAGGCTGCTTTTGGAAGAAGCTTTTCGGGAAGAGATCTTCCGAAAAAACTTCTTCCAAAAGAGAGCATTCACACTGCCAAAGCGCATCGAAAAAGTGCTGAATGGACGCTCTCTCGCATGTAAGCTGTGATTACGATGAGCAGAGTGGCCACCAGAGCACCTGTGCTTTTTCCTCTTTCCTCTTCTTGTGAAATAACTCTCTCTTCCCCATCCACACACATATTTTTCCGAAAGAGCTCTTTCAGAAAAAGGCTTCTCAGCCCAACACTGTGGCATTTAATTTCGAAAAGGGAAACTATGCAAAAATGAGGAGATTAGTTAAACAGAAATTAAAAGGTACAGTGACTAAAGTAAAATCCCTGCAAGCTGCATGGACACTTTTCAAAGACACCATAATAGAGACCCAACTTAAATGTATACCTCAAATTAAAAAAACATAGTAGAAGAACTAAAAAAAGCCACTGTGGCTTAACAACCATGTAAAAGAAGCAGTGACAGATAAAAAGACATCTTTTAAAAAGTGGAAGTCAAATCCTAGTGAGGTAAATAGAAAGGAGCATAAACACTGTCTAAGTGTAAAAATGTAATAAGAAAAGCCAAAAAGGAGTTTGAAGAACAGCTAGCCAAAAACTCAAAAGGTAATAACAAAACATTTTTTAAGTACATCAGAAGCAGGAAGCCTGCTAAACAACCAGTGGGGCCCCTGGACGATCGAGTTACAAAAGGAGCACTTAAAGACGATAAAGTCATTGCAGAGAAACTAAATTAATTCTTTGCTTCAGTCTTCATGGCTGAGGATGTTAGGGAGATTCCTAAACCTGATCCAGCCTTTGTAGGTGACAAATCTGAGGACTTGTAACAGATTGAAGTGTCATTAGAGGAAGTTTTGGAATTAATTGATAAACTTAACAGTAACAAGTCACCAGGACCAGATGGCATTCACCCAAAAGTTCTGAAAGAACTCAAATGTGAAATTGTGGAATTATTAACTAAGGTTTGTAACCTATCCTTTACAGCTTCTGTACCCAACTACCTGAAGATAGCTAATGTAACGCCAATATTTAAAAAGGGCTCTAGACGCAATCCTAGCAATTACAGACCAAGAAGTCTAAAGTCAGTACCGGGGACATTAGTTGAAATAATAGTAAAGAATAAAATTGTCAGACACATAGAAGAACATAATTTGCTGGGCAAAAGTCAATATGGTTTCTATAAAAGGGAAATCATATCTTACTAATCTATTAGAGTTCTTTGAAGGGATCAACAAACATGTGGACAAGGGGGAATCCAGTAGATATAGTGTACTTAGATTTCCAGAAATCCTTTGACAAGGTCTCTCTCCAAAGGCTCTTAGGTAAATTAAGTTGTCAAGGGATAAGAGGAAAGATCCTTTCATGGACTGAGAACTGGTTAAAAGACAGGAAACAAAGTATAGGAATAAATGGTAAATTTTCAGAATGGAGAGGGGTAACTAATGGTGTTCCCCAAGGGTCAGTCCTAGGACCAATCCTATTCAACTTATTCATAAATGATCTGGAGAAAGTGAGGTGGCGAAGTTTGCAGATGATACTAAACTGCTCAAGATAGTTAAGACCAAAGCAGACTGTGAAGAACTTCAAAAAGATCTCACCAAACTAAGTAACTGGGCAACAAAATGGCAAATGAAATTTAATGTGGATAAAAGTAAAGAAATGCACATTGGAGAAAATAACTCCAACTACACATAGAATATGATGGGGGCTAATTTAGCTACAACAAATCAGGAAAGAGAGCTTGGAGTCATTGTGGATAGTTCTCTGAAGACATCCACGCAGTGTGCAGCGGCAGTCAAAAAAGCAAACAGGATGTTAGGAAACTTTAAAAAAAGGATAGAGAATAAGATGAAGAATATCCTATTGCCCTTATATAAATCCATGGTACGCCCAAATCTTGAATACTGCGTACAGATGTGGTCTCCTCATCTCAAAAAAGATATACTGGCATGAGAAAAGGTTCAGAGTAGGGCAACTAAAATGATTAGGGGTTTGGAATGGGTCCCATATGAGAAGAGATTAAAGAGACTTGGACTTTTCAGCTTGGAAAAGAGGAGACTAAGGGGGGATATGATAGAGGTATATAAAAACATGAGTGGTGTGGAGAAAGTGAATAAGGAAGTTATTTATTTATTCCCATAATATAAGAACTAGGGGTACCACCAAATGAGCCTAATGGGCAGCAGGTTTAAAACAAATAAAAGGAAGTTCTTTTTCACACAGTGCATAGTCAATCTGTGGAACTCCTTGCCTGAGGAGGTTGTGAAGGCTAGGACTATAACAGGGTTTAAAAGAGAACTAGATAGATTCATGGAGGTTATGTCCATTAATGGCTATTAGCCAGTTTGGGTAAGGAATGGTGTCCCTACCCTCTGTTTGTCAGAGGGTGGAGATGGATGGCAGGAGAGAGATCGCTTGATCAGTACCTGTTCGATTCACTCCCTCTGGGACACCTGGCATTGGCCACTGTCGGCAGACAGGGTACTGGGCTAGATGGACCTTTGGTCTGACCCAGTATGGCCGTTCTTATGTTCTTACGTTCTTATGTCAGAGGAAAAATTTCAATCAACAAAAATGATCAAGCAGAGGGAAATAAGGCTGTGTCTTCACCGCACTATCACTTGAGATAAGATATGCAATTTGAGCTATACAAATTGTGTATCTTATTTCAAAATAGCATATTTTGTTCTGAGGGACTTTCTACACCGTGCCAATAGTTGAAATACCCCACTATTCTGAAACATCCCTTACTCCTCATAGAATACGGTTTACAGGATGTCGGAATAGCAAGCTCGTTATATTTAGAAATAATGGGCTTCCTGTGAAGATGTGGGATAGCTATTTCAGGATACTCGGGTATCCCAAAATAGCACTGCAGCTTAGACATAGCCTACCAGCGTGTCTCTGATTTCACTTATATTTTAACAAGCGCTAAGGAAAGACAAGCAAATTCAACATAATAGGTTAAAATGTACCTAAAGAGCGAAGTCATATATATAAATATCCTTATGATTTACAGCTATGAAGCATCCTAGTTCAGTCTTCCATGCCTTGCCAAAATATTGAGCAAGAATCTCTGAGCTACATGCTGGAATAACTGGAAAATTGTTCCTTTGGTGCCTCAAATAGAGAGCATCAAATGATGAAGACAATATAAATAAATTTGCCTTTATATTAATGACACTCTGCCTGATTGAAGAGCAGCAGAAACTGTCAGACCACAGCCTTAGCAAACTGTGTGTGTGTGTGTGTGTGTGTGTGTATGTGTGTGTGAGAGAGAGAGAGATCTTTCATGTACGTGAAAAAGTCCTGAAAACCTTCTGCATTTGTTGTTTTTAGTCCTCTGCCTCCCTCTTCCCACCTGAAATACTGTCAGCCTATCCTCTTCCAGATAAGAAATATCTTCACAATCTTTTATGAGCCCCAATCATCCACAGAGTATAAACACACTGGCTGTGTCTAGACTGGCAAGTTTTGCCGCAAGAAAAATTTTTGCTTTTGCGGAAAAACTTGCCAGCTGTCTACACTGGCCGCTTGAATTTCAGCAAGAACACTGACGATCTCATGTAAGAAATCAGTGCTTCTTGCAGAAATATTGTGCTGCTCCCGTTCGGGCAAAAGTCCTTTTGCGCAAAGCTTTTGCGCAAAAGGGTCAGTGTAGACAGCTCAGATTTGTTTTGCGCAAAAAAGCCCCGATGGCGAAAATGGCAATCGGGGCTTTTTTGCGCAAAAGCGCGTCTAGATTGGCACGGATGCTTTTCCGCAAAAAGTGCTTTTGCGGAAAAGCGTCCATGCCAATCTAGACGCTCTGTTCTGAAAATGCTTTTAACGGAAAAGTTTTCCGTTAAAAGCATTTGCGGAAAATCATGCCAATCTAGACGTAGCCAATTACTCCAGTTACCTGTTGTACCAGGAAATTGGAGACTGAGATTGACACTCAGACCTGGTTTTTGCACATGGCTGTGCAGAACAGTACCACCAAACTGTTACTACTATCTATTAGAAACAGAATCAAAGTTCAGTTTTAACAAGTAATTTAAATTGTTATCTGTATTGTAGACACAGTGTACAAATGTCCCCTTTTGATTTTACCCCTAACAATCTTTGTTCTTTGTTTCTATGCAGCTCCAACACATTCTTTTCTATATAGTAGGCCTGCATCCCCCTCTGTATATACTAGTGGTGAGTGTTCTTTAAATAATTTTAAAGAAAATAGGGGAAAGGTCTTCTTTGAAAGAATGTAGAGCCTCAAAAAGACCAAGTTGCAACACTCTTCACAATCATTTATATACTTAATTTTCATTAAAAAAACACAATAAAATAAATAAGCAATTTTTGTTCCATACTTTCACATTGTAATTTGTTCTGCATTTCCCTTATTCTTTTATAACAAGTCAGCTTTCACTAGTTCAATTCTATGTCGCAGTCTTGCTTTTTGATCTGAAGCCTTTTGACAATAATCCCCTCAGCCTTCTGCTTTCATGAGCATTTTTATGTCCTGCTGTGTTTCTATCCCAACAGTGCTTACTCAAGGCTTACTTTGTTCTTACTTGTTTACTTCTTAGGATGCCTAGTTTTAGCATGTTAACTTTTATTAGTTGGCTTATAATGTTTTCTTCACCTGTAGAATTTAAGTTTCATATGCAACAGATCTTTCATTAGGGACAATTCTGTAAGTAAATTTTAAAAGTTTTCCAAATTTGTTACTCTTTACCTGGCAGGAAGCCAGAGTATTGAGGTACAGTATATTGATTTTACATAGCTTTAAAACTCTTCCCCAATTCCATGTCACATAGGCCTGGATTTTGCCCCTCTTTCCTATTTTGATTTTGCTAAACATTGTAGGTTAGCATTTAATTTTACAAAATAATGGGTGTAACATCCAGCTTCTCTTTAGTCCACCCTCAACTCTCCCTACCCATAGATTTATCTTTTGGGCATTTTTCTATTCGTGGAAAGATTTTACAGGAATCAAATGATTTCTTCACTGTACACATTAAGGTCAGCAGTATTCTTTTGTCTAATTTAAAGCACTTTTGGCATGAGGATATCACATTTTCTTAACAAAATTTTATCCTATGGAAAAAAGCTTTGTTACTGGACTCTCTTATCACAAGATACACCTATCACAACAAAACTATTTTTCTAAAACTCACAAGGATTTGGTTCCAATTTCTCTTATCTCCAGTTGTCCACCCTGTAAAATATTAGTTAGACCATTGCTAAATGTGGGAATTCTTTCATTCTAATCTCACTATATCACTCTAGTTTAAAATGTGCTGTTCTGAAGGGGCAGGATAAATCGATTAAGAGAGCCAAAGTAATGTGTAACCAGTTTTTGTACAGGACTTTTTAAATGCAGTGATTATTATTGACAGTTGACGGAGATCCACACTTCATCATATCAGTGCCACAAAAAGAAGATGCCATTTGTTTCAATATCAATGAAGAGACTGGCACAGTATTAAGTTTAATAAAAGACCCAGTTACAGGTAAGATTTACATTCTTTAAATACATTGGATAGGGGGGCCATTGGCACAGTGTAATTCCCAGGAACAGCACAGCTACCACAAGGGGTCGCCAGATCACTTTCACTTGACTGTATAAAAGGTTCAGTGCACTGTACCATTCCTGTGAACATATTTTTATGTTTAGTAGCAAAAGGGACTTTTGCCCAACCCCTCAGAGGAATTGTCTAGGTATAATATAGCCCAGTGAATACAAGCAAAGAGAATTAAAATGATCCTTAGTCTTACAAGTCCTATTGCTTGAAATGCCTAGAAAAGGGTTAAAAGGAGTGCTTAGACTATTCCTTCTCAGCACTGAAGCTGCCAAAAGATGAGTACATCTAGAATTTTATCCCATATGCCCCAGTGGATGATTGCTTATTCTCAGTGATTTCCCATTCAACAGAAGACACCGTGTCATAGTCTCCATTGCATTAGAGCCCATACATTCTGTTCTGGCCCACAATAAATAAGAACATAATTCTGATGTGATTCAGACCTCTGCTTTATTTTTCTCGTTTTTTAAATGCCATTCTTCGATATATGCTGATCAAAATCTTTTCTATTTTAATTTTAGGCATCACAGTTAATGGGCAGCTTATTGGAGATAAGAGAGTGAACAATGATGCAAAGATTCAAAACACATATTTTGGAAAACTTGGGATTGAAAATAAGAAGCTGGAATTAAAACTAGAAGTGACTCCTGAGAAAATAATCATCCAGAATGGCAGAAAGAAGACAGTTTTCAGCTGGCTTGATACAGTCACCCTGCGACAAGAAAGGTATCACAAATACCAGAATCATTCGCAAATTTTCAAATTTGTGAACAGAACAGAGCTGAGTGAAGATCTGAAGCTGGAAATTTTGGTGGAAAATCCAGATTCAATGACAGCAACATGTTTTGTGAATGCGAGTTTTACCAAATTGCTTAGGTCAACATTTTTTTCAGTTCAGAAGAAAAAAATATCTTCAGCCATGTTTCTAAATGAAATGTTTCAGACTTCCAGTTCTAAACAAATTTTTGTTTCACGTTTCCTTTTATTTAAGAAAAAATCACACACGTTTTAAAATGGTCAAAATTCTGACCAGACAGACTAGTTAGGGCTGCTTGCACAGTGCATGCAGCAGAACAGAATGAGAGTATTTGATGTACAGTTTGAACATGTATCCAAGATACAAAATAGCAGAGAATCATCTGCTCTTTTCAGATTAGCTTCCATATTCACAGCCCTGCCTCTTTAAATCTTTACTAAGTACTCAGAGCAAAAATTCTCACCACACAACAGCAGAGGGACAATCACTTCAGTGTTCAGTTCTCCTCATATGCACTGTTATAACTGTGTAGTCCAGAGAGCAGGATAGCAGACACAATCTGTCCGGCACATTTAATATTTTTATTGTGGTATTGCCCAATAAACTTAATCAGGCTTGGAGCCTCATTTTCACTAGTATTGACAGAGAAGGTGGGTGAGTAAATATCTTTTACTGAACCAACTCCTGCTGGTGAGAGAGAGAGCTTGTCTTTCTCGCCAACAGAAGCTGATCCAGTAAAAGATATCACTTCTCCCACCTTTCCGCTCTGATTTTTTGGAACCAACATGACTACAACTGCACCACATGTAATGTTGGCTGACTTAGTCTAAAGAATTTAGTCTCAGCTCAGACAGTCAAACAAAGGGTATAGTGGCATACGGTAGTCAAGAAAAGAGATGATGAAGGACATATATTTTATTAATAGACAAACAGGTAGGCATGCTATATCCAGTTGTGTCTCAGCCTAGCCACTGGTAGGTGGCAATTTCTGTTACGTATTTCAGTAGAATTGGCTTGCAAAGAGATTTGAAAGCAAGGGATTAACTTTCTTCAAAATAATTTTGTACACAGTCTCAATACAACTCACACAGAGTCAGTCTATGTGTGAAATCTTTTCTTTTATTAAAAAAAAATGTATCTTTACCAGACAATTTTCTTTTCTCAAGCTCCTCATCATCTCTAGAAAGTCTGGTATTTTTTACAACAATGACTTCAAGGAACGTAAGATTTCTGAACTATGGTTTCTTTTTTCCCCCCAGTCTAACTCTGATAATCAACAGGAAAAAAAATCTGGTGCTCTCAATGGGAGATGGCGCATCCTTTGTTATTGTTTTGCATCAAGTATGGGAGAAACATCCTCTACACCAGAACTTCCTAGGACTGTACACACTGGATAGTCACAAGCTGTCTGAACATACCCATGGCTTATTAGGTATGAATTCACATAAGGCCTTATGGGGTCAGACTCCTCAAAATGGTATTAGCTATTTTCTCATTCCTTTTTCCAGCGCTTAAACCCATTGTCATCCACTTGCCCTCACTGGTCTCTCTCCTATCCACCTTAGGGTCAATCTAATGTACAGACTTGTTTTCTTTAGTGTACCGACTCTCTCTAATGCTTTGAAAAGTGGATTTCTCTTGTTTCAGTCTCATTAACATTTTTCACCTAGAGATGGGCACTAGTAAAGTACCTATTACTGTACAGCCAAAATCTGCCAATTTTCAGTGCATGCTTGCACAATAAGAAAAATATATATTTTATAACCTTTGAATACCTTCACCTGCTAACACATGGTAAGCCCGGAAACTGCCTGCTCCTTACCTGGGTTTTACCCCATCTTAGGTAATGCATGGTAAGAGCGTATTCCTCCCCACCCCCACTCCCACAGTGGAGACAAGTCCCTCATTTGATGATCAAAAATCATCCTGAGCATAAAGTAGGTAAGCAGCAGGCAACAGGCATTTGCTCAGTTAAATGTACCTTCTCTACACATATGCACATCATAGATTATTTGAAAGCTTATTATGTCTACTTTAAAATGAATTGTACTAGTACTGATGACATTTCTAGTTCTCCTCAGTACCTCTCGTGTAGTTAAAAGTCCCGTAGTGTGCTAGAGGGCTGGCACTCCAAACTGCAAGCCCCGGTGCCTATCACAGAGCTGATGCCCAAGCCCTGAGCACTGGCACATCCCCTGGGTTTGAAAATATTTACCAGAATTCTACTATAGTGATGCCAGCTTAATTTAAGCCCTGCCATAGAAAAACAGTAGACTTGCCTTGTCCTTGCTGTGCATAGGATAAAATTGCAGAACCACATTGGTGGTCTTAATCTTGCGTGCAACTTGTTAGTGGCATATAGCTTGCACTTACATCTGTGTAGCAGCTTGGGGAAAAGAGCCTTCTTGATGTATGTACCATCATTGTCTGTCTCTTCATTGAGCTGATAAAATGCAGCTTGATAAGCTGCCTGTAGTGTTCCAATGTAATTAGCTATTTTTCCTTAAGCTTTGTTTTACTCACGCAAGGCAGATTGGAGTGCTAAACGGCATCCTTAGCAATCAAGTCTTCATAGACATTCTATGCAACATGTGGTCAGCTCATATGTTAAGTGCTTCTTCCCTTAGTTTGGTTGTTCTGTCACATTTCTATTGTATGAAGTTTCTTGCAGTTCTTTTGTGGTTTTGTTTCAAACTAACTGCAGCTGGTGCCAGCACTGGAGGATGAAAAAAAATACTTGCTCATGCAAAACCATTAACTAGCTTGTAAAATACATTGTTGTGTGATAGTACTGACCAATAAACACCACAATAAGGTGCGGTAGTAGTCATGTTGCAGTGTTTCTCGAACTGTGCAAAAAAACCACACGCTCCCATTGTGGATGCCATAATTTACTTTGTCTACAGGCTTACAGCACCACTTGATAGCTCCACTGAGAAAATAAATATTGCCCACAAAAGCTCATGATATCATATACATTTTTGTTAGTCTCTAAGGTATCACAGGACTACTCGTTGTTTATACATAAAATAAACTTTCAAATGATCTAGATATGTGTAGGGTCAGTACATTGAACTTCAAAAATATAGCTCTTCTTGTTGAATTGCTGCTTACTTAAAGGCACAGCACCACTCAATCTTATTTTTTTGCCAGTGTAATGCCTTTTCTGGGATTCATTTTCTGCTGGGAGCTCTACAGTCTGTCCAAGAACTGGCCATTTTTTCTTGCAGCTTTAGATTAAGGGTAACAGGGTTTTTACACTGAACAGGTCAGTGACTTTGCTGATGGTGGACTGGTAATAATTACAGATATACCCTTACCACTTTTTGTACCTATAGTGGAATCTGAAAAAAAAATCCCCATCATAGTGTTATAAATGACATAAGTGTGTGTATTAGGAAGTATAATTTACAGGTCAGAGGGGCCTTGAGTTAGAAAACAGTAAGAGGTAAGATAAGGCAGGGCATTATTCGCTTTTTTTGCCAACATCTTTTTGGTATTTTAAAATCGTATCGTGCTACAGGCACACTGACATAGCCTGGTTTACATCAGCTCACTGGCCTGCATCTTACAGTACTGTTTATATTAGCAGTGAGTTTGACCTTGTACTGTATTAAATAAACTACAGCTGTGTCTGGTTATTATCTAACATTTGTGAAAACACTCCCTACATCAGCTATATAATAGTGTTACACAAACAGTACAACACAGTGCAAAAGAAGCAGCAGCAAATTCTGCCAGAAGCATGCATGTACAATTGGAAATCAGAAATTAAACCAGTTTTCTGAACTCATAAGAACATAAGAACTCAATCATTTTCATGGTTGCTAAGGTTCTGGGACGGACCCACAACTGGACCCAGTCAATGCAACTGAACAGACATGACAAAGCAATATGATTACAAAGAATTTATTGAGAGCGATTAAGAAAGATACATTTTACTATGTATGTTTGAATTAGGAAAGGATTTAAGGAGAAATGGAGCTGAATTTAAATCCCTAATCTAAGCAGCCCTAAACTAATTTAAATGAATCATATAATTTAATGATAGGTATTGGCAACCTGATTTCCAGTTGTGAGGATCTACAGTTGTTCAAACAGAATGTATATGAAACATCTTATTGAAGATTTGCTTTTCATAAGCAGATAGCATCTTTGCATAGTAATAATCACATTTCATAAAGCTGTAATGCCCAGATTGGTCACTAAAAATGTAAGCACATATGGATGGAAGATATTCTAAAAGAATAAAGGGTTATTAATTATTCTGAGAGAGATATTAGTAATACTATATAAAATGCTTAAGTTGGCCTGAAAGATTGTATTTGCTTAGGCAACTGTTTAGTATGTTTATACAAAATCAGTATATCAACAAACTGTGTGGATGCATATTAGACATTCTGCTGAAAATTTGGCTAAGTATAGGATAAGCTGAAAAATCACAGTCAGAATGTAAATTACTTTTTAAATGAACACGAGAGGCATGAAATATTAACATTTGATATTTTTTTAGGGCAATTTTTCCATCACATTGACTTTGATATACTTGAAATCCATCCTGGGGCCGATTCTAAAAAACCAGATGCTACAATGATGGTCAAAAACAATAAACTGACAGTAACTAGGTAACGAATAATCAAGTCCTTAAAAATATCACTTTCCCTAATTGTAGCTTGGGCGTTGATTTTTACAGTTATATATTTTCTATTTCAGGGGCTGGCAGAAAGATTTCAGGAAAGATTCCCAGCATGGCGTCGATATCCCTTGCTGGTTTGTTCATAATAATGGAGCAGGGCTGATTGATGGAGTTCACACAAACTATATTGTTTCCAGTATATTTGACACAACTATAAATTGATCCTCAGATATGTGTTGGGAGAACATTTTTCCTGAATGTGTGATGCTTTCTAATAATCAGCTACTAAATCACTGAAAGCTTACAGAATTGGTGTGTGGGTTGTTACTACTGTTACGTAACAGATTCTAGCGAATCAGGCTAGCTTGTGTGTGATCAGTTCTTTAATGCGAAATAGCTGCTCTGTATGAAAAGGGTTAAATAAAAGCTTCTAAACTTGCTGTCTTGTTCAGTCATTCCCACTACCTGCCAACAATGAATCGATTCCAGAGTGTCAGGTAAATATTGCAATGAATTAGCTGCAGCATAACAGAAACTTTAATACTTCCATCTGAGCGCCCAGGTCTTATTTTCAAGAGAAGTCATAAATACATGGCGTTGTAGACCTATTTGTGTACTTGATTGTAGTACACAGTATGTTGGTTTACTTCCACATTCCTTGGTGGGTTGTTAGAAAGGTCTAAATCTGGGACTGCTGTAATTTAAAGCTTGAATGACTATTATCAAAACTGAAAAATTCAGTTATGATGGCCAATCTGTATCAGGCTTCTCGACCTCTGAAGGTGACTCAGCCACCACCAGAGCAGGGAGTGGAAGATGTGGAATAACACCTGTTACAGTGAATTGTCATTTGCTGTAAATATTTTGCATGTTCTGTTAAAATGAACACTGTCCAAAGGATTACGAGTAGGAAAACAAAACTCCGGAGCAGGAGAATCCTTAGGGAATATTTAACCTGTTCGTCATGCTAATCTTAATAATGGAAAATAGGAGCTTGTGCTATTATACTGGGAACACAGACTAGACTCTCTGTTTGTTAGCTTTGATAAATAAGGTTCCAACAGTATATGCAGTATTCTAGGTATTTCTGAGAGCAAGATAAAGAATATTGCGAATGATAAGAAAACCTTGTTTTAGTTATCCACCAGCAAGATAAAATTGGCAAGTTTTAGGGATGATCATGGTATTCACCATAGAAATAACATTTGTCTGTCACATATCTTTGTATTGTGTTTTAAAAAAATAATAAAAGTGTAAATTTAATCTAAGTATAATCAATGTTGAACCATTTTCTGGAGACGTGACTGTGATATTGTCCAGAAAGTTTTTTGACGTCGCAGTCTCTCCAGCTACTTCTGACCAGAAAAGGTCATCTGAAGAAGTGGGTTGCGCCCCTGAAAGCTCATGATACCAGCTACATGTTTTGTTAGGTGACACTAGCCTATTAGTTGCTTTTTAGAAAATTTTCCAGAAAGAAGTGAGAGAAATAAAAAATCTGAAGTTTTTTATCTGAAATAAGACATTTTGACACACTTTTGTTTTGCAAGACTAGTCAAGAGATTTTTGGTTTTGTTCCATTGGGGAATGAAACCAAATAATGAAATCTCAAAAATTGTCACAAAACAGAACTGTCATGTTGCTCCAGACAACTCTAGTTCTGAATGCTTAGAAATAGCAGAAAGGTTGATAGTAAGGGTTCTGTAGCAGGTTCATTCTGCTTAGTATCTCAAATCAGTATTTTCTGATGACTCAAATCAGTATTTTACTTTTTATTTTGCTGTTCATCCCCTTTTTAATGCATATGTTGATGCCATTAAGATTAATCAGGCAGTAGCTGAGTTAGTCTATACACGAAAAAAACAACAAATGGTCTGGTAGCACTTTATAGACTAACAAAACATGTAGATGTTATCATGAGCTTTTGTGGGCACATCCCACTTCTTCAGATGACCAGAGTTTTGAGTTTAGGATGTGCAGACCCAAAATAAATAGGGGAGAAGCGGGGGGAGGAAAAAAAAGAGGAGGGATGGGAAACAAGGAGCAGAGGGTATGGAAAATCAAAGGGAAAAACAGGAAGGCAGAGCTGGGAATCAGTAAGTACCTGAAGATTGGGTAGTTAAAACGAAGCAGATAAGAATCGAAGTCAATATATAGTACCCTTCCTAACATAGGAATCCACACAAAGAGCTGTTTGCACCTTCACTGAACGTTAGGTTGATATGAAGGTGCAAACAGCTGTTTGTGTAGATTTTTCTCTCCCCTGCCCTTGGTGTCTTATCTCCCCTACCCCAAACCTACTTATTTCACCCACTAATGGCAGCAGAAAAACAGCATGTGAGAGAGAGAGACACACTAAGGCTGTGTCTACACTGGCGCGATCTTGCGCCAAAGCGGCTGCTCTTGTGTAAAAACTTGCTGCCTGTCTACACTGGCCGTGTGTTCTTGCGCAAGTAAACTGATATTTTAATGTATGAAATCAGGGCTTCTTGCGCAAGAACTATGATGCTCCCACTCAGGAATAAGCCCTCTTGTGCAACTGTTCTTGCACAAGAGGCCAGTGTAGACAGGCAACATGAATTTCTTTCGCAAGAAAGCCCTATTGTTAAAATGGCCATCAGAGCTTTCTTGCGCAAGAGAGTGTCTACACAGGCATGGATGCTCTTGCGCAAAAGCACATTCCAGTGTAGACTCTCTCTTCTGGAAGAGTTTTTGCACAAGAACTCTTCTGCAAAAGCGTTCTTGTGCAAGAAGCTGCCAGTGTAGATGTAGCCTAAGAGAAAAGAGGAGGAGAGGGGAGTGGGTGTTGTATGTCAGCGGCTGGTGAGTGAAAGGGAGAGAGAGCAAGTCAGGACAAATGCATGCAAGCTGAGGAGCGTGGGGCAGAGTGTTGCCAGGCCACAGTGAGGGCATGAGAGGGGGGTGGGAGGAAGAGGCATGTAGGAAGAGCACATTAGGGACTGGGAAGTGAAAGGGTTAGGGAGGGATCAGATGACAGTGAGTGGATGCAAGGGGCTTGGGAGAAGGGAAGAGATTGTGCCTGGTGAATGAGGATTGTGGAGGAGGAGCCAGTGAGGGCGTGCCAGGCAAAGAGGACAGGGGCAAATCTGTGGGCATGTAGGATGAAGGGTCTGGGGAGAACTGGGCAATGGCACAGGCATAAGACAATGTGCAACGGGGTGGGCATGTGAGGTGAGGGACTGGGGAGGGAAAAACATGGCTGGGGGCAGAACAGTGCAGTGAGATAAGGGGGGTGGCTGGAGATGGAGAGCAGGTGAAGGCATGGGCATGTGAGATGAAGGAATTGGTGGGAACAGGGCGAGGTCTCATGTGCAAGATGAGTTAGGTTGAGGCGAGAGGCATCAGACAAGGCTGAGTGAGCATGTGTGAGGCGAGGGAACTGGTCATGAGAAGGATGACTTGAATAAGTGTGAGGAGGCCGACTAGTGTGTCGCCTATGGAGGTGACTGAGGTGGTTAGTACATGTATGAGAATGTGAGGGAGGCCATGCTGGTGAAGGGTATAGGTGAGGGGGATAAGGGATGAGGGACCCTAGTGAAATAGTTAGAAATAGATAGAAATCTGGGGCCAAGAACAAACATGGACTTAAATAAAAACTGAAGAAAAAACATGAAACTCAAGGAATAGAAGAGTAAAATGGAGGACAGAGTGACCATAATGTAATAAAATTTAACATCCCTGTGGTGAGTAAAACACCTCAGCAGCCCAACACTGTGGCATTTAACTTCAGAAAAGGGAACTACACAAAAAATGAAGCTAGTTGCACAGAAATTAAAAGGTACAGTAACTAAAGTAACATCTCTGCTAGCTTCATGGAAACTTTTCAAAGACTCCATAATAGAGGCCCAACTTAAATGTATACCCCAAATTAAAAAACCCTGTAAGAGAACCAAAAAAGTGCCACTGTGGCTTAACAATCAAGTAAAAGAAACAGAGAGAGCTAAAAAGACATATTTAGTGAGGAAAACAGATGCATAAGCATTGTCAAATTAAGAGTAAAAATATAATAAGAAAAGCCAAAAAGGAGCTTGAAGAACAAACAGCTGGCCAAAAACTCAAATAATAACACCATGTTTTTTAAGTACATCAGAAGCAGGAAACATGTTAAACAATCAGTGGAGCCCTTGGATGATTGAGACACTAAAGGAGCACTCAAAGATGATAAACGCATTGCGGAGAAGCTAAATTAATTCTTTGCTTCAGTCTTCATGTCTGATTCCCCAAACCTGAGCCATTCTTTTTAGGTGATAAATCTGAGGAATTGTCCCAGATTGAGGTGTCATTAGAGGAAGTTTTGGAGAAAATTGATAAACTTAATGGTAACAAGTCTCCGGGACCAGATGGCATTCACCCAAGAGTTCTGAAAGAACTCAAATGTGAAATTGCAGAACTATTAACTGTGGTTTGTAACCTAGCCTTTTAATCCGCCTCTGTATCTAATAACTGGAAGATAGTTAACGTGACACCAATATTTAAAAAGGGCAATTAACAGACCGATAAGTCTAATGTCAGTACCGGGCAAATTAGTTGAAAGTATAATAAAGAATGAAATTGTCGGACACATGGATGAACATAATTTTTTGAGGGAAAGCCAACATGGTTTCTGTAAAAGGAACTCATGCCTTACTAATCTGCTAGAGTTCCTTGTGGGAATCTTTTCTCTGGAAAGAGGAATCCAGTGCATATTCCAGAAAGTCTTTGACAAGGTCCCTCACCAAAGGCTCGTAAGTTGTCATGGGATAAGGGCAGGGGTCGGAAAAAGGGCCTTCGCAGGCTGGATCCGGGGTTGGCAAAAGAGTCTGGGGGTGGAGGGAAGCACACTAAGTTTCCTTTGCCCTGCCTGGAGCATGCAGTGCTTTGAAGGGGGGAGCATGGAAAGTCTCTTCCCACCACCAGGGGCATGGGTGCTTAGTGGGAAGGGGGGGCAAAGGGTGTCCCCCACCCCCAGACCAATCATGGTTTGTGGGTGGGGAAGCCTGAAGCATCCTAGCCCCACCCCTTCCTTTTGAGACCCTGGGCCTTTCGGTGCGGCACAGGAAGGCAAACAATTATTGCCCACCCCTGGATAAAAGGGAAGATCCTTTCAAGCATTGATAACTGGTTAAAAGACAAAAAACGAATGGTAGGAATAGATTATAAATTTTCAGAGTGGCGAGAGGTAACTAGCGCGGTCCCCCAAGGATCTGTCCTAGGACCAATCCTATTCAACTTATTTATAAATGATCTGGAGAAAGGGGTAAATAGTGAGATGGCAAAATTTGCAGATGATACCAAACTGCTCGAGATAGTTAAGATCAAAGCAGATAGTGAAGAGCTTCAGAAAGATCTCACCAAACTATGTGATTGGGCAACAAAATGGCAAATGAAATTTAATGTTGATAAATGTATAGTTGTGCGGGGAGATTTCGGCAAATCCAGTAATATGCTTGAACCACTATTGCTTACTACTTAAACTTTAGCAACCAAGCTAATAGGCCCAAATTAGACTGCAACTTCCACATGACCACAGTCAGGGAAGAAGGGGTAGTCTGGGTGCCACAGAGAGGGCAGCTTGACCCCACATCCTTCCTGAGGCCCAAATCTCTAGTGAAATCACTGAACGATACACGAAGAAAAACAGGAAGTTTGTCTAAATGCCCTAAGACATATATCTATCAGGGCCCCCGAGCATGAAGTATCTGAAAAAGAAAAAAACGCATCTGGTGAAAGTGATGATCAGAAAAAAACTTCTTGCCTAACCTTTAAAAAGTGTTTGCCTAACAAGTTTTTGAGTGACATGTTATTGTAATACTAATGGATAAATAGGGAAGGAAAGTTTGAGATTGGGAACACTTGAAGGGACACCTCGAGGACTTCACTTCTGGACGCATCTTTGTCCCCACTGTCAGATGGAAGACTGGCCATCAGAAGCCTGCTTGGTGTCACTCGGGAGCCACACTCAACTTTGGTATTTATCGATGTGGGGGTATTTTACTAACCTGTTGCGGATGTGTGTAAGTGCTTGAGACTAAGTAAAGTTTAGCTTCAAGTGAAAGCACTCTGGTGTTGTCCTGTTTGTACCATCCATTTATTGGACGACCGTGTCTCCCCGAATTATTTCCTGACACCACCTCACAGAGAGTAAAAGTGACGAAGAGGTTTGGGTTGAAAGAACCGCTGGTAACATAGTAATGCACCTTGGAAAAAATAAACCCAACTATACATACAATATGATGGGGACTAATTGAGCTACAACTACTCAAGCGAGAAATCTTGGAGTAATTGTGGATAGTTCTTTGAAAACATCGACTCAATGTGCAACGGCAGTCAAAAAAGAAGATAGTCTCTATCCTTTTTTAATGATTCCTAACATTCAAAAAAACCCAACAAATGCTAGGGAAGTGGGCTGTGCCACGAAAGCTCATGACACCATCTACATGTTTTGTTAGGCTATAAAGTGCTACCAGACCATTTGTTGTTTTTTTCTGTAACATACTAACTCGGCCACCCCTGAAGCTCCTAACATTCTAAGATAGGGAATATCTTATTGCCTGTGTATAAAACCATGGTATGTCCATATCTTGAATACTACGTACAGATGTGGTTGCCTCATCTCAAGAAAAGATATATTGGCATTGGAAAAAAAATCAAAAAAGGGCAATAAATATGATTAGGGGTTGGGAATGGGTCCCATATGAAGAGAAATTAAAGACTTGGACTTTTCAGCTTAGAAAAAAGACGAAGGGGATATGATAGAGGTCTACACAATCTTGACTGGGTGTGGAAAAAGTGAATAAGAAAAAGTTATTTACTTATTCCCATGATATAAGAACTAGGGGTCACCAAATGAAATTGATAAGCAGCAGGTTTAAAACAAACAAAAGGAATTTTTCTTCACTCAGCACACAACCTGTGGAACTCCTTGCCAGAGGCTGTTGTCAAGGCTAGGACTTTAACAGCACTCAAAAAAGAGCTAGATAGATTCATGGAGGTTAGGTCCATCAATGGCTATTATCCAGGATGGGTAGGAATGATGTCCCTTGCCTCTGTTTGTCTGGAGATGGATGACGGAAGAGGGATCACATGAGGATTACCTGTTGTGTTCTCTCCTTCTGGGGCGTCTGGTATTGGTCACTGTCAGCAGATGGGATACTGGGCTAGATGGACCTTTGCTCTGACCCAGTATGTCTGTTCTTATGTTCTTATTACAGGAAACGAAATGGGAAAGAACTCAGCCATGGAAACTAGTAAGTTTATATTCAATTTGCTTGATTCAGAATTTTGATTCTACAAGTTAATGGTTATTAGACTGAGGCAATTTACATTTTTTCTCAGGTGTTGGACTGGAAGGGTTGATAGCGTCAAAATACACCCACCTATGGTCTAAAAAGTATTTTCATTGTTAAAATTAACAGGAATGAGAGCAGGTGGCAGTACTCAGCCTGACCAATTATGGGGCACAAGGCAACGCGGGACCCAACCATATCTTCAGTTTCCTGTTTAACCCGTGAGGCCTCTAGAGGTGAGAAGCAAAATGATGCCTCATCAGCTTATTGTGGCTGAATCATCATGTCTTCAGAACCTAGTTGTCACGTCCTCAGAACATAGGGGAAAAAACTCTTTGCAAAGGTCTTGAGGCAGAGAATTGTGGAGGATTCTTTCCAAGGGTATGTCTAGAGTACAGGCTTTTGTCGACAGAAGTTTTGTTGACTGATACTGTCGACAAAGCTTCTGTCGACAAATAGTGATAGAAATGTAGCCGTGTTAGTCTGGTGTAGCTGAAACAAAATACAGGACTATGTAGCACTTCATCTAATAAACCATCTTGTTAGTCTTTAAAGTGCTACATAGTCTTGTATTTTGTTTCTGTCGACAAAGAGTGTCTAGACTACATCCAGTTCTGTCGACAAAGCAAGCCGCTTTGTCGACATGACAGTGTAGACACAAAGGACAGTGTAGGTGCAATAACACCTTCTGTCGACAGAACTCTGTCAACAAAAGGCATTATTCTTCATAGAATGAGGTTTACAGCCGTCGACAAAACTGCTGAGTTCTGTCAACATTATGTTGACAGAACTCAGCGGCAGTGTAGAAGCAGGTATAGTTTTATTGATAAAAGTCCACTTTTGTCGACAAAATCCTGTAGTCTAGACACACCCCAAGTGTTCAAAACTCTTACTTCACTACCAGTTGGTTCCCTATTGTTTAAGGAGGTGGTACTAAAAAAAAAAGGCGGTACTAAAGCAGAGACAGAGAGAGCATTTACAGATGTATCAGTCCTCGATTTTTTTCTTTTTCTTATTATATATTTACTCCTATGGATATTGGTGTTTCCGGCTGTCAACGGGCAGTTAAAGTGGAAGAGGGCTCAGTGCGTTGCAAATCTGTATTTGCTATGAGACGGCTGATAATATTTCTATTGTGAATTAGTATCAGTGTTATGTAATGCACTGAGGTTAACCCCAATATCTTTAGTATATTCGATTTTTTTCTTTTTCTTATTATATATTTACTCCTATGGATATTGGTGTTTCCGGCTGTCAACGGGCAGTTAAAGTGGAAGAGGGCTCAGTGCGTTGCAAATCTGTATTTGCTATGAGACGGCTGATAATATTTCTATTGTGAATTAGTATCAGTGTTATGTAATGCACTGAGGTTAACCCCAATATCTTTAGTATATTTACAGTACTGTAGATTGTGGGTATTGTAGTCAGCAGTGTTATTGTCTGGTCAGTCAAACTGCATGCTACAGGATATATAACAGTCCATTTTGTGTATATTATCTTGGTTACACAAGCAATTCAGATAATGGTATGCAATCACCGTGGGTGTATATGTATAGGAGAGGGTATAACATTTTATCTGTTTACAAAATTATTTGTATCAATGTTTTTGGCTAGAAAATTCTCTTTTTTATAAATATTGATGTATGGAATCTAGTAATAGTTTGTCAGGTTTTTTTGTATGTGATGGAAAGACCACAAAAGTTTTTAAAAAAATCTGGCTTACGACAAAGAATTTTTGGGTTCAATGGCCTGAACAAATTCGTATTCTAAATTCATGGTGATTTTGAAATGTCGCTACAAAAATAGTTTGAAGATCTAGGGTAAAATATTTAAAAGTGTCTAAATTACTTAGATGCCTTTGTCCCATTTTCCAAAGTGATTTAGTTATTTAGGCCTACTGGGGAGTGAAACTTTTGCTCTTACCTATTATGCTTTATTTTAAAATGTCCGATAGTTGTGAAATATCTGCCACTAGTATGAAACTAGCTTGCAACCCATAAAAATGATGCTTTTTTTATTGCTGAAAGTTAGAAGGGTTAAGGAATTTGAAATTAGGTTTTAAATTTGACCAAATAAAACAATTTCCAACCATAATTATTAATCCAATGTCTACTATAGATTCATAAGCAATAACTAGTCATCATTTGTGTTATTGCTTCAAATATTACAATTCCTGAAAGTTATTTTTTTAAAGTTTACTAACAGGAAATTCAGCTAAGCTTTGTATTTTTTCCCACAATTCAGTCGTACGAGAGAACTAGTGAAGGCAATAGTCTCTTATATGCATGTGTTAGAAAGTTCTTAGTAATGAGATAACAGTATGATAACAGTAGATAAGCAAAAATAAGAGCATGAATGCAAATTTTAGAAAACTATTCTTAGTGTATACCTCTATTGCTACGATAGTACAGCTCTGTCCTCCTTTCTCAGTGTTACTGAGCCCATATTGTCAAACAAATTTGATTAGCTGGTATAACTATTATTACCAAATATGAAACTGTCCATCATATTTCATGTCTTCTGTCCAGTGTTGTACTATTTATTTTAAAGTTCATTCCCAGTTTCGACATACATTTTCAACATGTCTTATAAAGAAATACACTGTAAACCTTTGAAAATTACACACAAATCAAACTCCAACACCTAATTTTTAAGAATAATTACAACATTTTAGAGGTACCTTTTTTACATTTATTCATTAACAAGAAAAGTTGAAAGAAAACCACAAGATTATGATATAAAGTGAAATTAAATCAGAAGTGTTACAAACATCAGCATTACATTTGTTTCCCCCCCCCCCAGGTGTTTTTCTTTATATGGCCTTCATGTGTAATGACCAGCAGGAAATAAATCCAGTGGTTGACTCTAGCCTGTAATCTTTCTTGGATTGTCTGGAAAAAAAAAAGAAAAGGAAAAACAACTCATAAAGAAAACATTCAAACTTTAGACCACCTTTCTCCAATCAACTTAGAATGGGTTGAACCTTATGCCTGCATTGGCTGTCCAGTCACTGCGGCTGTATAAAGGATAAGAGGTTCACCCATATGAACCTGATGATCGCTCTGAGACCTTATTTTGAATAGCATCCTTCATACAAACGGTGTCTCAAAATGCTTGAAAGTTTGCATAAATTAAGCAAACCTATTCTGATTTGGATTCTTGCCACAAATAGAATGCCAGTGATGAAATAAGAATAGGAGGAAAAACAGAGGGTTTTTCATGTTTTTTCCCCTTACAAAACTAACAAAAATGCACATATTTAATGCTGAGGCTTATGTCCATTCATTATACATCTACAAACAACCAATATCCAACAGATTGAAACTCCTCCCAAACTAGGAAAATAAAGGAGGCTTGCAAGATCAACAAATTCAGGCTGTTGCAAACCATTGGATGGATGCTTCTAATGATTCACTTGACATTTGTTTAAGACGACTACTGCAACCAAACACTTTATTAATTCACGAACTGTACTAATTTCCAGCATATTTGCCAGTGATACATCATTTCAAACCGCTAAATCCTTGAGGCATCTCTGATTGTATACAAAATATTAAAACAAAGTAAATCACATAAAGCATATACTCCTTCCCCTCCCATACCCTACTGGTTCGTTTTACCTGTTAACTCTATGCTTTTGTCCATGAACATTAAGAACTCTTTCTTGCTGTCCCAGACTTGCTCCAGGGTTAGTTTCCAAATGTGTGTCGAAGTAAAATTGACCTTAGAGAAAACAGACACAAAAATATTTCAAAATCACATTTATCAGAAAGCTTTTCAAAATGCATATTTTTGTTCATTTAATAAGAACCCCTTGAATGGCTACAGGGCGAGTAGTTGCTTGCCTGAGATAATGTTACCTGTGCAGTCATGTTATTCCAATCATACGAACTAACAATAAAAGACATATGATAGAAGCTTTCTGGCTTTCTAAGGCCTTTCCCTTGTTTCAGAAGTCATTCTCTTTGGTCCTAGATGCTTATCTAAGATTCTTACTATCACAGGCACAATGCTGCCAACAGATTCATGCTCACACAGAATCCCACTGACTCCTATTTCTACATTTATTTGTTTCCAGTGTTGGGCTATGTCAGATCTTTCTGTATTTAAAAGATTTTTGGACAACTGCTTTAAGGAAACTGCTTTTTTCCTTTTTTATGTCAGGTTGAGATGTCTGGGTATTTTCTGTGGGGCTATGTCTAGACTGCAGGCTTCTTTCGGAAGAAGCTTTTCTGGAAGAGATCTTCCAGAAACAGAAAGAGAGCATCCACACTGCAAAAGCGCATTGAAAAAGTGATCTGCTTTTTCAAAAGATAGCGTCTACACTGAATGGATACTATCTCACATTTCAGCTGTGATTACTATGGATGGAGTGGCCACCAGGGCACCTGTGCTTTTTCCTCTTCTTTCGAAAGAACTCCCTCTTCCCTGTCCACACATGCCTTTTTCTGAAAGAACTCTTACAACTGAGCACTTTGTAGTAGTTCAGGACAGCAATACTGTAAATGCAGGATTCACTGATATGGCGTCCTGACAGGTCTCCTGCTCTGTCAGTGATGATAAACATTTGGCTGTGTGCATTTTTGTATGCTCCCTCAGGATATCATGCCATCTCTTTGAGTCTGTGTGTGTCCGTCCCTCCTCTTGAACGGTCTTAGCAGGTTTTAATATCCCTCTGGGGTCTTGTATTTTAATTTTTTATATATATTTATATTGTATTTTTTTTTTAAATTGTAAGCCACCTCAAATATTTTAAATAGAGGGACGGAGTAAAATATTTAAAATAAATTAAATAATAAAATCTCTCTGTGGGTAGCTAGCATAACAGACTTTACGAGAGCTCCCAAATACCACAGACTCAGAAAAGATACGAAGGCACCCGAGGCAGGTTTATTGTCGAACAAAGTACATGATGGCCAGATGGCCTCCAAGGACAATGGACACGGCTCAGTCGATAGTATGGATTTCACTACTGCCCCCTAGGCGGCCAAAGAGTTAAGTCGAGGTAACCCAATATTTATAGAGAGAAATGAACAATCTATTATACACACCGCATGTATCATCTTACGCATTAACGACACGTTTGGAACCTCCCCTTGTATTTTCCTCCAAAGCATTCACTACCCATTGTCATGCTTTCACCCTTGCTGTTTCCAGCTATTGTATCATGTACTCAGCTGGGTGTCCCTGTACTGTCCTGATGGAATGTATTTACATGTTCCACGTGTTTTTAGTTCTAGTGCCGACAGATTTGCAGGCAAACATCTGCTTTTGACACGGCCTCTCTCTCATTCATAGTATAACTCTTGCTTACTTTGGATCAAGCACCAAGCTCTTCCTTTCTCCTACATACCTCACACATTAATAATTGTATCCTTTAGGCCCCTGTGATCTAGAGATGTATTATTATCCCCTTTTAACTGGTAGGGGTCTAAGGGACAAAAGCCTAAACCAATGCAGTTATTTACAGATCAACACCAGGTAGCAAAGAAGAATTTAGCCGAGAGAAGTTTAACAACTTGCCCAAATCTGAGGCTGAATTGGAAACTGAACTCAGAGTTCATTTCAATAATTTAATTACAGCACCTTTCTTTATTTCCTAGGCCCTACTACGCTACTTGGATGATACATACCAAGAAGTCCACTGGCTTTGTCAGAAAAAAGGTCAGTATCCATGAAATATAACCCAAGGAAATGATTTGGAGACTTTACAAAAGAAATTTTCATTGTGATGTTCTCAGATGCTGATACTGTCAGACTTCTTTCCTTTTCAACTGTGATCTCCACCCTAGGAAAAAAAGCAATCCTGGTTTTTCTAAGAAAAATGTTAAGATATTTATATAATGCTTGAGTATTTGGTGGTAGTGGTATTATTTGCATGACTGTTATGTGTAGGAGGACTACTCATGGACCAGAACCTGATTTATTGTAGATATGCTGCTACCCTTTGTAATCAGATTCTTTTTTATGCACTGAACTTGAACTGAGGTCACATTTTCTATGCAGCAATAAGTACAGTAATTTGCCTTCCTCTCTCCTCCCGCCGTGCCTTAAAATCACACATCAGCTAATATAGTTTACAGGGAAAAAATGTTAAATTAACAGGATTGTTTGCTAATGAAAATATATTTTTGCCCATGGCAAAAAAATGCTTGGTGAAGAGGAAAAAGAATATTCTTTGTAATGATTATAACATACGTACAAAATATTGTAATCAGCATGGATGAAAATTCAAAGGTCCAGTTCCCCATCAAAACTCTCTTGGCTATTTTACAAGAATAATCTCTCAGAATTTTCAGGACCTGTCTTTCTTCTTGTAGTTAATTAGGAAAATGCAGAGGTCCATCTTTTTTTCTTTTTAAAAAGCCACCAAGAATTCAAGAAAAGAAATAAAGGTGAGCCTGACCCACCAGGCCCGCCGAGGGGGGGG